CAGCGAGAACTGCTGCATTCACAAGGTTTCAAACTCGAGACCTTATTTAAGCTGGAACAAATCGCTTACCACTTGATCCAACCTCTCGTTGGTAACAATGTCTCAATAATTTGGTTGTGGTATATTTTTTTTTCTAGGGGGGATGGCGGTCCATTCCATGACTAAAATATGTGTCTTTTATGTGCATTGAATGGTTAGGTTTTTACTATTATGTCACTCTTTAAAAAATTAGAGATTCCAACTCTCCCACCGTCCCTCAACATCAAATTCAGTGAGACACGCACGGAGGAGAATTTAACACATGGTTTAACACAATAAGTTCCTTCTCCTTACCTCCACCAATATGTATTTTTATTTGAGTTTTTTTAATATGTTGTTTAAGGTGCATATTAATAGTATAATTATTATATCTTTTTAATATTAATTATTATTAAAATATATAAAATTATCATTAATGTTATTAGTAGTTCTACATAAATTATTTTAATTAGGTAATTATTTAAATAAAGGTTATTTTTTAATGTTATAGTTCTAGACTTGTACTTAAAAATTGAATATAAATTACATTCTTAACTTGTACTTAAAAATATAAATTTAAAAACTCTTTTTTTATTATTTTTTTATTTTTCTTGGTGCAACTTAACCATTACACGTATAGATTCCAACTATTAATGAGGTCTTTATTATAATTTTTTTTTTCAAACTTTGAGTGACATAATAAAATGTAATATTTTCCCATCTGATTAACTCATCTCATCTGACTCACAATAGGTGTTTCAGCTATAATTATTTAGGTTGAGAATTGCCTCTTTGTTCATTTGTGGATCAAGAGCCCACGTTTCAAGACGAAAGTCTAAATACCAGCTTGAAGCCCTAAATCCGTGATGGCTCACTTTTGAATTGGGCTCTATCTACCCATTGGGCTGAAATTAGAGAGATGTTTGGGTCGGCTGTTTTCTTTCTCAGATTTAAATGCTGTTTCTTTAATTTCATTAACTGAAAGTTTCCATTTAGTTGATTCATCGAAGATTATTAGATGAATTTCAGGTCCAAATTCATGTAATACTATGTTTTTGGTCCGTGCAGGCAAATACTTTTTTTTACTGAAAGTAGAAAGTTAGTTGTAACTGAAACTTTCCTGGAGAGTACCATACTGCCTTAAATATAGTGGTTGAGACTTGGACGATCGAGGATGATGACTTTGCATTTATGACATTCTAAGGACTTGATCGGCGTTGGTTTTTGTTGCATAGCGTTTTGTTAAGGCAATACAAATTATAAATAGTGTAGTAACTGTGTTTATTTTGATTAATTTTATTGATTTATAATTTTTTTTTGATACGGGAAACATTGGTTAAAAGTTAATATCTGTTCGGTTAGCATGAGAAGTCAAACTTGGATGAACTCCACCTGCTACTTAGGAATGAGCGTGGCACATCCACTCGGCAACATGGGGGAGTTCTTATTGATTTATAATTTTTTTCATTAAATAGTTAGTTTTTGGTACTAACTTCTTAGTACAGTAACTATATTGGATTTCAATTAATTTAAGATCGAATCACGTCAGACCCATTAGGGGGAAACTTTTTTAGCATTTGTTTCTCCATTCATAAGATTTAAATTCAAAATATTGTTTAAAAAAAACCAAACTCATTTAACTCGAATCAACAATTCATTAATATTAAATAATTAGTTATTTGTTTAAAAATATTAAGTTATAGGTTGATTTTTATTTGTTAAGTAATGAATATTAATTGTTTTATTAAAATATCTTGTAAAATTAGTTTAAAATTTATTACTTTAATCTCCTCTTCTTTCTTCTAGTTGAGTTATGTTGTGGAGAAAGATATGAAATCTGAAGGTGGTTGAATGTATTAGTAAGCATCATTTTATGTGAAAAATATATGATATTGCGGTTAATATCGAAATAAATTATTTCTTTAAATGCATCAAACCAATATAAACTACACTTTTGATTATTTAAGAAAAAGAATTAATCTCAAAAAGTACACATAAAAACTAACAAAATACTCTAACCATCCAAAACAAATAGTGAAAGGAATGAATATTGATCCAATTGATGGAAATTTTTACTTCGTGGGGTTCATAATTCAACTCTCATTCTCTCAATGAAGTATGTTTTGAAATTTGATGTGGAGTTCATGCTAACTTGATAACCTCTGGTTAGATGCAAATCAAAGTAATAAAACACGTTAGAGTGCAACTCTATTTTGAATGTGCGGAGAAAGAGAGACCTTGGATCCTTTTTTAGCCATGAGATGTGGCTTTGGATCTAGTCACTTGTTTTTCACCTCAAGGTAAGATATGATGTTGGGAATTTCTAAAACAAAACACAACTCTCCAAACCCAAATTTGTACCCTTACATTTACTCATTCTCTCACACCTAAAATAGGTTCCTTGCTGGTGCACTGACCCAACAATAAGGACCCAGTACGCATGATCAGCCTGACGAAATAATGGAGATCCTAGTCATTTTCTAGGGGTAGGCACTGTATGCAGCCACAGCTTACAGCAACAATAAAGCATCCATATTGTCCTCTTGCTTCGAGGTAAGCATCAAATTAACCTCTATTATCTTTGATATCTCTCTTAGAACCTATTACAATATTCAGATTGAATCAAAGTGGTAGAGTATGATATGAATCATATTGAGAATGTTAAGCATAAAAATTTCATATAAAAAAATATAACAAAAAAATGTTATATAAATTTTGTATTGAAATTTACAGATCTAATTTTTACGAAGAACACATTCAAATTCTTTCAACATCATCAGTTAACAGGGCAGTTTGCTGGAACTGTTGGGATTAATAAGGGTTAGGAAAGTATGGACAATAAAGCATCTTGCTTAGCTCAAAAAACAGAAAAATCTGAATTCATGCTATTGCATTATTGTGGTCATCAATAACTAGTCTGATAGTGCATGAAAGAATGGGTACATTTCCCATACCTAACGGAATTGAATTGAACAAAATGCCAACCTGTGTGCTGAAAAGCATATGCATTGGAAGCAATCAAGGACACCAAAAGTATGCATCAGAAAATTGATATTTCACGTTCTTGTTTTTGTCATCCTTGCCATTCATTGTGCATTATAGCAAGGGCCCCCTTCCCCACATCACCTTATCACAACTACACATTATCTCAGCCTTCTCGCTCTCCATCTCTAGATGAAGGTGTTCGATTTGGTTTGGTTTAGTTTTTGATTTTTTTTTTTTTTTTCTGTTACATCAAATTATATGTACTGTTTTAAGCTTTATATTTGCATCAGAAGTATAAATCAGAGGCTGCAGATGACAAAAAGTTTGGACAAATGGTGTCATATAGACTGTTCATGAGACTGGACAACACGTCTGTCCTCCACTTCCACTGATTAAAAACAAAAGCCAAAAGCAAGTGCTTTGTTCATGCTTTCATTAACAATTCTCTAAACAATTTCTGTGAAAAGTGCTTCTTGAGAAGCCAAATTGTGTAATTATTATGGTTTCAGAGATGATGCATGTGAGACTGAGAAATGGGAATAACAAGACATGAAAGATCAATGTTCTGCTTGTTTCCATGATTTTATAGTCTATAACTGAAAAGTTATCTATGATTTTGCGCATCTTCTCTTCCTCTGGTTTCCTGGATGAGATTGTGCCATTTTCACTGTTTTAGCGAAAGAATCTTTACAGGGTCTTTCTTTCTGAAAGAACTCTGCTTCCCTTGAATGGTTTTGGGCTCAAGTGGAGAAGGTATAAATCTAAAGAGAATTTTATTTTATTGTTTGAATTATATTATATTATAGAATATAAATTATTGAATGACACATCATTATTAATATTAAGAGATTCATTTTATTTAATAATATATATTGTATAGTTTAATACAGTTCAAACTATAAAACATTTTTTTTAAAAGTCTGAATAAGTGATTCTTGGATGGTAAACAAGGAATTGTTCTTAGAACATTACATCTATAAATCTATAATTTCCCCCTACTTTTCTTTGTGAAGGGATCAATATATGGTAACAATTATTCGTTTTCCCTTTCTTTTGTTCTTGACTCACTTCCAATGGAGCTTTAACAACTTCTTTTTTTTTCTTTCTCTTTAGGGTTTTTAGAGAAATTTTAAATTAAGATTTTAAAAATTAATAATAAATACTAATTCGTTCAACCCTTAGTGACTTAGTGATTACCTCCTTGAATGGATGTGGTAAACATAATGATCTGAGTTCAAATCCCAACTCTACTCCCCTTCCCTTACACATTTCCCCTGTTCAAAAAATAAATAAATACTAATTCAGCAATATCCTAACTAATTGTTGAGAAATTAACTGCATTGGACAATGCAATGTGATGGGCATGTGATCTCAATCAGATTCCAGTTTATCTAATATGTAATCAAATATATACTGTACTGATGCAATCTGCTAGCTACTGACACATTGCTTGTTGTACTCAAAAGAAGCCTCCCCCTTAATTATGGGCGTTTTCCCCCCACATTGTGAGCAAGAATCTGTGACTAATTTAGATTGTAATGTTAAAGGCATGACAGATCACTTTCTTTGAAAACCAATATTTATTTGAAGCTTCTTTTAGCTGTGTGAGATAGAGAGGGTCCTTAGTTGACAAGGAAGTTTAACTTAACTCCAAGATTCAACGCCATGGTGATGCACTTTTGCTTCCACTGCAAGAATTTCAAAGGAGAAAGGAGACAACTCCCCCCAACACTCATGATCTTCAAATCCTTCTCCCCCATCTTCATAATTATTTCAGGTTTCACTTGCTAAGGGTGGAGCCAATAACGATGCCCCACTATGGGCCCAGAAAGTTCTATACTTAGTTAAGAAAAGTCTCGAATTCAAATCTTTCTATTGAAATAAATGTAATCAAATTATTATCAAACAAAAAAAATATATATATTAACAAAATTATTGAATAAAAGAATCTATATATGAATTAAATTTAACAAAAAAAAAAAAGGAAAAAGAAAGAAAAACAGTGCCACTACCAACGCGGCAAATAGGTAATTTCACTCCAAGATGGAGGAGGACCTAAATGGAAAGTAAAAAAATTAAGGGTCTTGGATTGGACTGCTAGAATAATCAGACCCCAAAATGCAAAAAGGGAAAAAATGTAATTTTTATTTTACTACAAAGATTATTTTATTTTATTTTATTTTTTAACTTTTAATTTAAGAAAGAAAAACTTCCACGCTGGAATTTCTGACGGTGAGGCAAAGTGGGCAGGCTCGTGCCACTCGATCACACTCTGTACACAAGCAAAGATGCCGGCACGGCAGCAGCACCACCGACGCCACACGTGTCCGGCAACCCTTGCATGCCGGCCCCGACACGGAGGCGCGCTCTGGGTCCACGTACGCAGACTCGGCGTCTTCCGCTTGGGCCTCCACGCCTCCTCCGGCGCATTTTAGCCCCTCATCCGCTCTCCTGCTATCCTGCGCCGGGCCGCCGCTCATTATAGCCTGTTGGAGCTGGGCTTGCAGCGTGGCGGCCGTCGCTTCCTGCGCCCTTGCTTTTGCCTGCCAAACCCGCGCCTCCACGCTAAGTTGTGCCGCGCGTGCCTCCAACTCGGCGTTCCGGCGGGTTGCCTTTTCGACTTCAGCCTGTTTTTCTCTTAATCGCCGGACCACAGACTCCTCCGCTGCGCCCAGAAGGGCACGGTAGTGCCGCTGCCTCTTTTCTGCTAACGTGCGCCGTAGCTGCTCACCCTGCATTTATCATATTCGAATTAATAAACCCCCAAAAAAGAGCAAAAATTGATTAGAAATCCGTTTGGATGGCGAGAAAATCCGAACCTGGGCTTGGAGGAATTGGTCCAATTCTTCTCTCTGCCGTTTGATTTGGGTGGCGAAATCCTCCGACAATAGAGAAAGCAAAGCGGACGATTGGGGAACAAGACTCTGTTGCTGTTGCTGTTGCTGCCGCTGTTCTTGTCGATGATATTGAAACTGTTGGTTTTGGGTCTGCTGTAATTGCTGTTGGTCACCGCCGAACGATAGTCGGAGGCCGGTGGAGACGACATTGGGTTGGTGGGGTTGGTGCTGCTGATGGTTGTGGAGCTGAGAAAGGTCTATTAGCTGAGTGGGTTGCGTTTGTATAGTGAAGGAATTGATCGGAGCAGCGACTCCGGTGGTGTTAGCCGCCGACACTTCTCTTCCTCTTTTGCGTGGATTATTGTTGCCTGCATAAAAAAAATTGCCCAACGCCGGATATTAAAATCAAGATGCCGGGGACGTATAAGTTCTCGAGAACTTTTAGAATCACAGAGAGACACTCACCTCCATTGCTGAATAACATGTGGGATTGATCAAGAAACCCCCCACCAGGTTGTGGCTGCAATGAAGAAGAAAACTCATGTCCGTCTTGCCCGTTTCTGCACACACCGTAAAATACCCCGATAAACGATCAGAACAATCAACGGAAAAAATACATAACGGGGAGGAACATGGGAGGAGGAGAAGGAAGATATTACCTGCTTAAGAGGAGGACATTAGAAGGGTATTGAGCTTGAACCGCCATTGTAGACAATGTAAAATTTATGGAAGCAATGTGAAGGGAAGCAATTAAGGCTAACGTACCCGAAAGTAGCCTAAATGAGACGTAAATAATTGGAGAAAGAAGAATAACGCCGAGAAGCCTTGGAATCAACTCCGTTGAGAGGACAGCCCCATCACCACTTCCACCGTCTCCTCTTCCAGCATTAACCGTAAGAGAACCTCGTTCTCATCTTGGGTTCAATCTTGTTTTTCTTCCTTGGGATTGATATACGTATGCTCAGTTCTTTCTTTCTTTCTTTCTTCCTTCCTTCCCCTGTTTCTTTTCTTTGATATATAGATATAGACGGGTTGTTTGGAAGGAGAGAAAGAGAGAGAAAATAGATGCGATTGAAGGGAATCAGTCCAAGAGAGAGACACCTTATTCTGCTCCTTCTTTCTTTGTTTGTTGGCTTTGCTTCTCTTCTTCGCGTGGGTATGGCTTTTCTTAAGGAGAAATCTCGTGTTTGTTATGGAACCAACAATTAATACCCTTTTAATTTTTTTCCCAAACAATTTTTTCAATTTTTAACAACAAACTAACTTAATTAATTCAATGTAATCTCTTTTTAGTAAAAATAAAATATTTTAATATAAATAAAAAAATTTAATTCTAAACCCTAATTTAAACCATTTCCATAATTATAATTAAAATCAATATTAAATAAATGGGAGAAAATGATGAATTGCACTAGGTAAAATGAAATGAGGGTAATCTAATAGTAGAGGAGAGCTGTACCATTCCCCCTTGAATAATTTGTACTTAATTTGTACAATGAATATTGGCCTTTTTTTTTTTTCTTCTAGGTAATGAATAATGCCATTTCTTTTGTTCTACATAAATTAGCAGGTGTCTTGGTGGACATTCTTATATTTGAAAATTTTTTCTTGGAATTAATTTCATTATCTTAAATGGGTTTTAGTAGAAGGGATGTCAATGATATATCATATCAATGAGTAAAAATTAGGGGTGGAATCAAAATAAATCCTATTTTTTTTTTATGGTTCTATAATTTTTTAAAATTTTTTTGAGACCTATGATACATATGTGTTGGAATCAAAATAAATTTCAATTTTTTTATGCTTTAATTATTTTTTCTAATATTTTGAGGCTTGTGATACAATATGTGCCCAACCTCAACCATAGATCTTTTTATGGTTTAGCCCATGATGAAACCTTGAATATATTTTTTAGCAAGTTGAAGGGTTTCATGCTGCTTTAATTGTTTTATTTTTTTATTAAAAAAAGTTTTTGTTTTTTTTTTTTTTGACATCCTCCATATTTCATAAATAATCAAAATGTTGTTGCAATGGAGAATGACGATTGATGAACCCTTCTCAACAGCTAGATGTTTCTTTTAGGTTTAGGATTCCTTATCTTAGAAAATAGAGAATGGAGAGAATCATGAACAAGTACATCTATCTGATCCAACCTAATCATGCCATCCATGGTTGTTGGTTTGAATTTTTACCCTATTTTTGTTCCCAAGAAGAAGTTGGTGCTTCATCAAGACTCTGTCAAAATGATTCCTGATGATGTAGCCTTGTTAATTCCCGGAAGAAATAAAGAAACCTTCAAACACACTTTGAATATTTTTAGGTTTGTGCTCTCTATTCAATTCCTTTCAGTGGTTGTAATATGTTTCTGCCAATTCACACCTTCTTAGCAGATTAGTAGTTGGAATTGGATCTAAATGATCAAAAAAAAAAAAAAAAAATCCTTTTTCAAGTTTTACTTCTTAAACGAATAATGAACCGATAATTAGTTGATGAGTTGTTCATTCTCCTCGATATATGTTTACTTAATCCCCCATTAATTTTGAGAAAATTTTGTTTAATGAAACATGCGGGAATTGGTTGTGGAAAATGATATGTAGATGAAGACTATATAGGTTGGGTAAGTGAAGTTTTGTTTTGGGACTCCTTTCATTTGTTAATTAAGCTTCCACTCCCTATCTAGATTGACAATGAAGTTAATTTATATTTTATTTTTCTCTATGTGCTATATAAATATATATATATATATATATATGTATGTATATGTAAGGATAAGTTCGAGGTTAAGGACCTCGAACGTACTATAACAATTCCTTGATAATCGAAGTGAAGTTAAACTCAGCATTTCTGGTCAAACGGTTGTACAATAAATACAGTGGGCATATCCACACCTGATTTATTGTATAATTCTACGGTCTTGAATTTGTAGCCGGTCCCGAGTTTATCTCCTCAAGGGACACGTCACCCTCCGATTACCTTGCTTGGCATGCCACGTGGGTTCCTCATTGAAGCTTATAAATACCCCCCATGGGCCACGTCAAAAAGGTAATTGAAACAAACCCTAAGCTTCTTTTATCTCCGCTCTAAAGGTAGTCTCGATTATTGCTGACTTAAGCATCGGAATGTCTACCCCGAGTTCCACCTCGGGGCTTTGCAGGTCAATCCGGAGTGCAGACGTGGACTGAAGAATAACTTCTGGTTTGGTGCAATTACAGTATCTTCTAAAATTATCGTGTTGAAACAAATTATACTATAAAAAATGTTGACACAATTTGCAACCTCAATTTTCTATTTTTAAGAAATTGACTCAAATTTAATGGTTTTCATTAAACTATGTTAAATAACTGTTCTTCAAATTTAACAAAAAAATTAACAAAATAGTTAAATTTAGGTTGATTTTTTGAAGATAAAAATTTAAGAGGACAAACTGTGTCAACATTTTTTTTTGAATGAAAATTTATTTTAACACAACAATTTTGGAAGGGAATCTGCACCATTTACCTATCGATATAGATGGTAACATTTTAGGATTTCAAAGAGTAATCTGCCATCCTATTTTCCTTTAATTTCAATGAAATGAAATAGGATGCACATAAAAAAAATGAAATCAAATGGGAATCAATTTGGTTAAAAGAATAAAAAGGGACCGTCTCAATTAATAAAATTTAGAATTTATAATCAATTAAACATGCACTTCAAGAACTAAATTAGTAAAAAAAAAAAAAAGATAAAAGAATTAGTAAATCTCAACAAGAAAAGTGAAGTTGGAATTGGTGATCTTATACCCAAAACCAAGAGGGATTTTAGAAGTATTATATGTATGAATGGAGGTGACAAAGAAAGGGAGAAGCCACCAAAACAAAAGAGGGGTAGGAAGTGTGTGAAAGAGTGCTTGCAATGGGAACACTCATTTTGTCTTTGTTTGGTCCCACATCTCCACCCTTCTTACACTAAATTGAAACACAGGCCTGCACGGCAATACATAAACATTTTTATAAAACTCATCGTTTTCTTCATATACTTTGAATTATTATATATATAGGAAATAGTAGTTATCCGTCTTATCTCTTAAAAATTAAAAGAAATAATATTTCAAAATTACGTCATTTTAATAAATATTTATTAAAAAAAACTAAAATATCATATTTTTAAAACATAAATTGAGGTATCTTTTGTCATTTTTTTTATTAAGTTTTTGAAAATAAAATGGACAAACACTAAGCCCCCCAACCCACACACACACACACATATATATATATATATATCTTTGTTTTCTTTCTTACTTTGTAATATCAATCTTGTACTTTGAAGGTTAAAATACTAAAGGGTATCAATATCAACATGCCGGTTTTTACTTGGTTTTGCTAATGCATGACTACATTGGATTTTTTAATTTTTAAATGATGATTTTTAGTAGATGAGATGGCTCTTTCGAGATAATTGAAGACTTGATGAAGTTGACATTTTTAAAAAAAAAAAATATTTTGAGGTAATTATTTGAATTGATTCCGTGTAGAAAAATCAATTAATCAAAACTATAATTAGCATGCTAATATGGGTTTTGACCTCACACCTTGTTTTATTATAATGTTGAATCAAACCTTTGCGTTTTGGTTTGGTAGGGCTAAAAATTTAAATGGGTAGATATTCAACTTGGATTTATTACATCGTTAACACCGATCTGAGCTTAGCACACATAATTCCTTTCTTTAAAAAAAAAAAAACTCAAAACTTCTACAGTTTCTAGACTAATGGTTAATGGATAGCAACTTGTTAATTTGCTCCGAAATTAAAAATTTTTTAATACATCAAATAATGGATTATAAAAATAAGAAATAATCATTCCCCTCCCAAATCCTTCCATACTCGTTTTAAAATTTATACTTGAAATCTTAAATATTAAGATTTAAATTTTTAACCACTGAAATGCATATTAAAGAAGTTAAAATTACCACTATTAATTACATTTTTTTATCCCTAAAACGTCACTTGTTAAAAAACAGGAGGAGCAATTAGGAAATGCCATGATTCAGTACAAGATTGCCAAGTCAACACAGTTGCAATGATCAAAGTTGTAGTTTTGGACAATAAGAAAGTTTATACTAGTACCACATTTTTCTAAGATATGTGCTCTTTTAAATCCTCTTTCAGTCTTGTCTCCTGCTGGTTATTGGCTAATGGGACTATAAGCTTGTGCATAGGGTGAGGGGCCAACGAACAGGCTCATTGAAATTTGCCAAAATTTATTGACAAACTTAAACCGTATAGAACTGTGAGGAAACTTCATTAATCACATCTTGTTTCTTGGACCGAGATTTCCTCTTTGCTAGTACCATCAGAACACTAATCCATGCAAAACTTCCGGGTTTAAGTATGAAGATTTTCTCCTTTTTTTTTTTTTTGCTCCAAGTAATTTGAGCAAGTTATTGAGTTCAAACCCATAAATTTAAAGTGAGCTGAAATTCTTCTTTGTTTTTTATAATTGAATGATTTATCTTAACCTATTATTGTAGATTATGCTCTCTTTATGTGATCATAGAACTTAATAGAACTTGGAAAATATGAATGTGAAGTGAGTCGTCATTTCCAAGATGTGTCATGAATTGAGGCGCATTTCCTTGTGTTGAAGACAATACCAACTTTACTTAGGACATTTCTTTATTGTTAATCCAACCATTCCCCATCCATTTCCCTTGACCCACACTCCCCCCAATTCTCCTTTTTCATTTTCTTTCTCTTTCTTTGCTCTTAGTTTTCTTGGACTTTGTTTAGTTTTTATTAGCACCATCCTAATTCCACACCTCCACCACTCCTACACCCTACCCATGCTACATATGCACTTCTCCCTCCCTCACACCAAAATCACTTTAACTATTGCATTGAATTTGTTTGCCTACTAATTACACTCATTCAAGCACAAGAAATTTCATTTTTAATTAGATTACATCTCAACCCTTTTCTAGTGAAGGCAAAATTTAATCTTAAATACTCTTTTTAGGAGGGGAGAGAGAAAATGAGAATGGGAGGGAGCAAGGAGGAAATAATTAATTTGTGGTTCTAATCTAGAGGCTATATGACAATTACAAAAGAATGAATAGAATAAAGGAATAGATTAAGTTATCTTTTTAATCATGGACATAATTGTGATCTAACAAAATTGGTGAAAATGGAGGACTAGCTAGTGATGTGTATATGTTTATCTACAACTTACAATAAGTGAACGTTACCTAAACAAAATTAGCTAGGAAATCACTCAACAAGTACCTTTGTAGGTTTTGCTACCTTTTTTAAATTGGTGGATCAGCGCTCCACCAAAATAAGTGCCTTTCTTTCTTTTCTCCAGCTTGATTTGAGAGGCAAAAAGTAAAGGGGAAAAAAAAAA